CTGGCTAATCCCTCCTTGATATATAAAGCGAAATTGATGGAATTTCCAAAGGAAGAGAAAATTGACATATGTCATATTATAAAGACACCAAAAGTTGACATGTGTCATATTATAAGTATCCACATCTCTTTTTATCCTACTAAAAGGTGACATGTGCACATCTAATCTTATATTCACGTAAAATTCCCATCAAATTAAAGCTATCCATAATTAAAAATTTAAATAATCATATATTTTATAATCTTTATCAGATTAGAAATATATATAATTAAAAAAATCTCATATTTAGATATTTAAATATAGAAATTAAAGAAAAAACTCATGTAAAGAGCCTCTGTACACAAAATCATGGATTAATTTTAGGAACCCCCTCAACTATTTTAATTTGACTAAACCTCCCCCAAGTTTTGAGCATATTACAGATAACCTTTCTGAACTATGAAGATTTGAGATAACCCCTTGAAGTTTCCTCACTTCACCACCCCACCCCACCCTCCCACCCCAATTTCGAAAATATGGGGTGCATCTCAAAAAAACCCAATTAGCTATTTTAATTTGAGACCCCTCAAGTTTGAGCATAATGTAGATAACCCCTCTCTAGTTTAAAATTTTGAGAAACCCCCGATGAACTATTCTCACTTTACGCCCTAAAAGCTAATATTGTTAGGTCTAGTGTGTCACGTGTCACATGACAGGTAGGTGATTGAAAAACTATCAAAATACCCGTCAATCATAAACAACTACTCTGATTTTTTAGGATAAGAAAAAGAAAGGGTATTTCAGTTATTTTACCGGTTAGGGGTTTCCTTGTAATTGAATGGGTTTATTTTTAAAAGGGTATTTCAGTTATTTTACGTCTTGAAATGACATCAAGGGGGTTTGGGAAAAAAAGTGTGAAAGATTAGGAGGGTTTTGTGAGACACCCCATAATTGAGGGCGTTTTCTCTAATTTTTTAAGTTGAGTAGGATTATCTATAATATGTCAAAACTTAGGGTGGTTTTCTTAAATTAAAATAGTTAAGAGGGATTTTCTAAGACATTCACCATAATTGAGGGGGGTTCCTCCAAAATTAACAGTAAAGTCATGTATGCAAAATTATACCTGTCAAATTATATTTAAAGTTGATGAATCAGTCTTGCTCCTAATATACTATTGATGAATTTGCCAATTTTTTTTTGTTATTTATTGATTTGATACTGTCTTTACTGATTTTTATAAAGAGTGGTTTTTGGTTCATGCGCGTCTCTTTAAAATGTAAATAGAAAACAAGACACCATAAAAATATATATAATATGTAAAGATTTATAAAAGTAAAAACTTGCCTATTTAAAAAAATACCTGCAATCGCCAAAAAACAAATTATTTACACAAATTACACAAGATAGTATTTGCTTTTTCTGATATTTTCTAATAATCATATTGAAATTCTAATGGTTTTGAAGATTATTCTATGTATAAATATTTTGATTCTTAAGATATTTGATAAATATTTTAAAACCACATATACTTTTTTAATTAAGTTGAAATTCTAATGTAAGCATCACAAGATTGAGGTTCAAGCATGAGACTTTATTTAAATCAAATCATTATGTGAAGATCTTATATCTCCTTTATCTGTGACGTTTTATTTGATTGCTGCATGTTGCATGGTTTGGCTTAATACTTTCTAGTTCATACCAAAATTTAGAAGTTTTCATAATGAAATGTCAATGTAAGATGACCTTGCCACCTAGCAAAATCCCAGTAGTTCCTACATCGAAGAGATATTTTTCATGTTGTGATCACATGGAGCGTCGATTTTATTATAGCATTTTTATTTTTTAAATATTATAGAGATATTACAAAGGAGATTTTGATGGTTAAACTATTTAATTTTAAATTTAAAATTTTGAATAAAAAATATCCACACGCTCATTCAGCAAGCTGACTTTTTTCTCTTTTTATCTTAAAATATTATAAATAAATAGGAATATTGTAAAGGAGAGGCCCGATGGTTAAACTATCTAACTCTGGATTTTAAATTTTGAAATAAGTCATCCACCCCCTTATTTTGAATTTCTATTAAGTTTCAAACTATTTGAAAAGACTGTCCAATTCAAATTATCTAATTTTCAATAATCCATTTGCTATAAGCAATGTTTTAAAAATAGGCCGATTTTATCGATTATCGCTGATATATAGGGTTTGGGTCATGGCCGATATAATTTCTGCAAAAATTTATCGCATATCATTTTTGACCAATTTGTCTCGATGTATCCCTGTAAATCCGATAAATAGACCAATTTCTCCTGGGTTAAAGATCACCCGATTTTTACGATTTGCATTTCAAATAAATCAGTTTGGGTTTGAAGGCAAAAACCCTCCTTTTGCATACTTGATACGCATCCACTAAACAAAAGTCATGGCTGTCATGCTATCCCATTCTATTTCACATCTGCTCATCATTTAACTTTAATTCTCTCTTCCTCCACTATTCTTTCCCCTAAATCACTTGCAAATTTCTCATTCAAAGACCTCTATGGCTCTATCGATTACCTCTCTCGAAAACCTTCTCTTGATATTTCAGTAAATGTGCTTAAATTACATTTAGGATTATATTATATATGCTCACCATCCAACATAACACTCCAATTTTTACTACTTTTCCCCGATATTTCCCGATAACCGGGATCCGAGATGAATTTTGGCTATCTGATATATTTTCGATAACCGATATTTAAATCATTAGCTATAACTCATTGGTATAAAGTCATTTGTATGCTCATATCCATAGAAAATGGAGTATATATAAGAAATAAAAATGTGAATTAGCAGTTCAAAAAATCTTATTTAATTCAATTTAAAGTACATATATATGACTAAAGAAGAAAACTCTAGAGACAAAATATCATATATAAAAAATATCAGACTTCTATCATTCCAAGCTAATGGTACGAGTTTAGTTTCCGCAAGCCGATCCATGTTACTTATTCTACATGTAAGATTCACCCATGTGAGGTACTTGTATCATAATAATATGCAATTAAGAATTAAAAAAAGTAGAAATAAGTGACTTAGACAAGAATGTTGACATGTGACAATGATTAGCAAAAAATAAGTGTAGGTATGAGAAGTTAGGTAAAAAGATGGTTTGAAGTGAACGGAGACCAATTTATGTAGCCGTTAGAAGGGGTAAGATAGTTGGTAGTGGAATGACAAGGATAGGTGGAAGATCTAAAAGAACTTGGTGAGACAATAAAAGAGGACAAGGTTGCAGTTAATTCAACCAAAAAGATGGCACTAACAGATTGAGTGAAGAATAATATTGTGGTTGACTGCAAACGTTTGTGAGGAAAATCACATTGCTATAATTGATTTATAGCTTCCACCTTCTCCTTGAATATTGGAGAAAATTCCTTCCTTGAAGGCAAGAAGTATAATACGAAGGTACATTCCCTTCATCGCAATGGAAAGCAATTTTTCACTATCTTCATACCTTTAGCATCATATACAAGATTTTGATGTTACTTGTCCAGAAATTTACAGAAAATAGACTAATGGCTAATAAAAGAAGGAAACAGGACAAGGGCAAATGAAACTTTTTGTTGTACAAAAAAGAGGAGGCTAAATGTTTGGAAAGGAAAAAAAAAGCACCAAGCAAACATGACATGGACAAATAGAACATTAAAAGGAGCTACAATATAAAGATAACTCAAATAGTACTCAACCATAAGTAGGCGTGCTAGAATAATTGCAAACTCAAACCAAAACATGTAGATGCATGACGATAGTCGGTTTCTTGTGAAATTTTTATGTGGATTCAGCTGAAATCTGACAAACTAAAGAGTGAGATTGGTCCTTAGATGATTACACAAATGAACATGGACACGAGATGTCACAGACTGCATCACTCAACTTGTTGGTTGACTATTACCAGAGTTCAAGATGCGAGATGAATATTAAGTATCTTAGACTAGCAATATAGGCAGCCTAAGGCTCTGACTAGGACTTGACATCTGCCTTTCTCCATTTGTATTCTGGTTTTAGTTTTTCCTCAGTTTGAGATCCTAGCTCAGACTTCGTCAAAGATGATTCATGTCTTTTGAAATAACAGAGAAGACTCAGGTGAATCTAAGGCATATCGTATCTTCAGTAAAAGATATGTGTTTTAGGATGGTAGTGATCATTAAATCTCCTAAATGAATAGTAGATTTCAGGTTGTAGTAGCAACTCAAATTATATGCAGCATAGGCACTTGTCTTGTGAACTTGTACCCTTGTGAACACAGTTAGGACACTTTTCAAACCTGTTGTTAGTGCTATAATCAATTTTCTAAATTCAGGAAGTTCCTTGGAGTCTTGGACACGTGTGTTCCACTTATCTTGAAGATTATTTTTCACATCAAACATTTGCGACATTATTTATTTCTGATGCACACATAAAAGCAAGAGCCAATGAAACAAATGCGCTCAACTAAAACCCAACTTCATCTAGAAATAAAACCTAACTATCTAAAGAAACTCTTAACTGAACGATAAGGATTAGCTCAATAAAGATCATCTAAATTATAAGGTGGTCCCAACTTCTAACCTTCATCCACATGTCATTATAATAAGCATTACTATGTTCTTCATACTTGCATGGAGGAGGTCTTGTCAAACATAGATTTAGGAACCTAAGATTGGGCAAAGGCACAGTCATGTGGATTGACAAGATGAGAGTTGAACTGAACATTAGGAATCTAAGAATTTCCACAAGAAACTAAAAGAACACATGCCTAGGGGGAAAGAATGCCAACTGCAAGGGTCCAAAAATAAATAAAAGGGCAGCCCTACAGTAGTGATGCCGATTGCGGTTAAAGGTTGGGATAGCTGTTGAGTGAAGGTTTGTTGTTTGATTATCCAAATAAACAACAATGGAGCACTTGTTCACCAACATGACAAGGGTTAGAAAAGGTAACGGGAATGACCCCTTTCGTGGAATGGAAAAGAAAAGAAAGCAATTAAATCGGAACCCATACCTACACCACCCTTGCCATCATTTCTTTTGGTGGTTGATTTTGGGGAATGGAAGCAGCAAAGCCTGGTTCCCATCGTTCGAAACTATGCTCACATTTCCCGCTTGTACCAAAATTTATAATCTTCTGGAAGAGAAAAGATAAATGAGAAAAATCAAATAGCTTTTTTCTTTTTGCCCAGCAGCTTAAGAATAAAAATTTGTGGGAATAAAAGAGGGGGAGGGAAATGCAGTGAAAAATCTAGCAGTGAAGGATTAAATAGTGATGAAGAGGTGATTTATTTATATAAAAAGACGGAAGAAGTCTAAAACCTCAAGAAATCAAAAGAGGGAGAAATTACGAAAGTAGACCAATCAAAAGAGGGAAAATTTAGAAAGCCTAAAACCCTAAAATCCTA